GTCGCGGGGGGGGGGGGGGGGGCCTCTTCCTCCGTGACAACTTTCAGGGACTGCTTCCATCCCCAGAGATCTCCAACCTCATCGTCACGCGGGGACCTCGGGCCAGCAGCAGGCCACTCAACCTCAGCCATCTCAGATTCCACCAGGTCCGCCAGGAAGACATCACCCAGGTGCGTGGCGCAGGGGTGGCCCCTGCGGGCGTGGGGCACCAGAGAGGCAGCCTGGAGCCGTTGTCATGGAGATCTTCCACACCATGTCCCCCCAGCTGTCCCACTTGGGCCAGGGCACGAGGACCAACGTGTATGAGGGCCTCTTGCGAGTGGGGGGCGGAGGCCCCGAGGAGGACAAGGTGGATGGCGGGGACCCCCCCATGCCCGGGGCGGGCTGTGAACAGGAGCTGCGAGTGGTACTCAAGGTGCTAGATCCCAGTCACCGTGACATCGCCCTGGTGAGTGAGCATGGCCAGGGGATGGGGGGCAGGGTGAAGGGGGTCAGGGTCAGGGCCTGCAGCCCCCTAACCTGCCCCGTCCCCACAGGCCTTCTACGAGACAGCCAGCCTCATGAGCCAGGTCTCCCACGTGCACCTGGTCTTCGTGCACGGCATCTACATGCAGGGCTCCGACAGTGAGTGAGCCCTGCCCCACCCCCGACATACACACACACCCCACCCCACTCGGCCCCATTTACAGCCCGATCCCACTTATGCTCTTGACCTGCATCCTTATCCCTGACTGCACACTGACCTTTGACCTACACCCCACCCCTGAATGCACCCCAGCCTGTGCCCATCGACTCTCACCTCCAGCCTAAACCCTGTCCACACCATGACCCTTAGCAGCTCCGTGATCCCTGCCTACGCCCCAACCATCTACCTACACCCCGACTCTAGACTGCATCCCTAGCTTCATCTACCACCCAAACACCTCTACAATCCAGCCCCTGTGTATCCTCTGACCCCCTCAATACCGTGACAGCATGCAGACCCCAGCCTTGTTGGCCATCCCGATCCTCCCAAACCTCAGCCCCTGCTTCTCCCCCTGCTCTCCCGCTACTCTGTGCGTACCTCCTTGTACAGGGTGCCCACGGCCGCCCCCAGACCCGCCGACCTCAGCGCCACGTGTCCATCTCTCCTGCTTTCCCCACAACGCTGGCTTACGTGCCGAGCCTGCGCACCTCTCACTGCACAGGCAGCCCCAGCCCTGTGGGATCTCAACCTCCAGCTCCACTCCCTCCACTCGTCTGCACCCTCTCCCCGGTTCCCCAGTCCCGTCCTGACCTTTGTCACTCACTCGCAGCCTCCTCTCTACCCCAGCCCCACCCTGGACCCAAATGCCAGCATTCAGCTGGCCTCACCCTGCACCCACCTCCAACGGCCCTCCGTACTGCATTCCTCCTCTCCCCAGAGTCGCTCCCGAGCCTCCCCCCACACCCTTGCCCGACACCTTCCCCACCTACAGTCCCAGCCCCCCAGCCCTGTCCTGCCCCCTGGCGCCCTGGAGGGTAAGCTGGTGGGCAGCACCTGCAGTGGCTGGGCCTTTGCAGACATCATGGTGACGGAGTACGTGGAGCACGGGCCCCTGGACGTGTGGCTGCGGCGGGAGAGGGGCCACGTGCCCCTGGCCTGGAAGCTGGCAGTGGCCCAGCAGCTGGCCAGCGCCCTCAGCTACCTGGTGCGTGGTCTGCGGGTGGGGCCTGCGTGGGTGGGGAGGGCCAGGGCAGCTCCCACGTTGCGTATGGAGGCCTGAACGCACCCATCCACGCACTGGATCTTCCCATGAACCTCCTCTGCTCACGCACCCCTGTGGCTCCCATCTCTTCCCACCTCCTCCACTTTGTGTCCAAGGCCCTGTGGCAGTTGCCTCTGTCACTCTTGCCATTTGTTCCCCAGCCCTTCCTGGTCCAGTCACCCCAGTTTCCAGAACACCTGCTGTGTGCCGGGCTCTGTCCTAGGCCCTGGGGACCCAACAGAGAACAAAACAGACAGAAGTTTCTGTCCTTGGGGAGCTGGCATTTTAGTTGGGAGGGACAAGCGAGAAATAATAATTAGTACATTACATTACAAAATATGCCAGAAAGTAGCAAGAACTGTGGGGAAAAAAGCAGAGGTGGAGATGAGGATTTGATACAGTTTGGGGAAGAGGTGATGTCTTAAAACAGGTGGGTTGGGGAAGGCCTCACTAAGGTGACCTGGAGGTGACATGGGGTGAGGGGAGAGGTGGGTAGTTGTGAGTGTATCTGGGAGAAGTGCATTCCAGGCAGAGGGGACAGCCAGTGCAAAGGCCCTGGGGAAGGAGCATGCCTGCCATGGGTTTGAGGACCGCAATAGGGTCCTCTGGCCTTTTGTCCCCGGCTGAGAGCCTTGGCCACCAGCACTGGGAAAACAGGAAGGACCCACTGGAGACCCAGTGCTCCCTTGTCACTATGACAATGGACTGGCATCTCCATAACGACCATGATTGTCTTTTTCACTTGGGCTGTCCCTGGGGGGACCATGTGGGATGGGGTAGGGGTGGGGTCTACAGCCCCCAGTGGCCACGCCTCCTTTCCCTCCTACCCCAGGAAGACAAGAGGCTGGTTCACAGCAACGTGTGTGGCCGGAACATCCTCCTGGCACGGCTGGGGCTGGCGGAGGGCACCAGCCCCTTCATCAAGTTGAGTGACCCCGGTGTGGGCCTGAGCGCCCTCTCCAGGGAGGGTGAGGACGCAGGCAGGGCTGGGCATAGGGGCAGGCTTCCCCCACTCCTTTTACCTTGCTGACCTCTGACTCTGGCCCCCAGAACGGGTGGAGCGGATCCCCTGGACAGCCCCTGAGTGCCTGTCCGGTGGAGCCAACAGCCTAAGCACTGCAGCCGACAAGTGGGGCTTTGGTGCCACCCTCCTGGAGATCTGCTTCGATGGGGAGGCCCCCCTGCAGGGCCGCAGCCCCTCCGAGGTATGTCCAGGGGACCCCTGGGCCCTTCCCACAAAGAGGGCTGGCACCGCCAAGGAGTCCAGAGGGTACATTCAGGGTCCAGAGCTGCCTCTCCTCTGGCTGTGCAGCCTCATCTCTCTGGGACTCCATCAGGTCATCTGTCAGTTGCAGTGAACTGCAGTCCCAACCTCATAAGGTCGTTATGGCACAAAGCAAATAGATCACATGCTTTAGGCAGAGTGACCAGGGCATCAAGGGGGAGGCACGGGCTGTCGGGAGGAAGGGGACCCAGAGGATGCCCCTGACCCAGCTGAGGGATGGGGCAGGGCTTCCCAGAGGAGGTTTTACTCTAAGTGCAGAAATATCAGTGTCCCAGGCTAGGAAGAGCAGCCTAGGTGGTGGACACAGCCTATGCAAAGGCCGGAAGGCTTTGGGGCATTCAGGGAGCTGCAGTATGCAAAAGCGTCCTGGGAGCAGAGGTGGGTGGAAGGCAGGGCAGGAAGGGCCAAGTGTGAGATGCTCCAGCACAGCACAGCCTGCTCTACTTGGGTTCCAATCCTGACTCTGCGGTGGTGGGCAAGTCTGCATCCCATTGCCGAGGCTCAGTGGCCTCATCTGTAATATGGGAATGACAAGAACAAGGACCTGGCTGGTCTAGCCCTGCTCCGGGGACCTGACTCTGCCTCTTGGGGAAGGGGACTGAGGGTGTACACTGACTCCTTCCGGTCCCCTCTCCAACAGAAAGAGTGCTTCTACCAGAAGCAGCACAAGCTGCCTGAGCCCTCGTGCCCAGAGCTGGCCATACTCACCAGCCAGTGCCTGACCTATGAGCCAGCCCAGCGGCCATCCTTCCGCACCATCCTGCGTGACCTCACTCAGCTGCAGCCCCAAAGTGAGCATCACTCCAGGGCGGGGACCCTGGAGGTGGGGGAGGGGCTGGGATCCCTGCTGACTCAGGCATGGTGCACCCAAGACTCTGTACAGTGGCTTAGGGTGTGTGCCGGTTTCTAATTCACTTAAGTAAGGGGGAGGGGAAGCCCCAAGCTCTCCTTTATGTTTTGCTTGGGGAGAGCCACGGCTTCTTTGGATGAATTAGACCCTGGCAAATTTTTTAGTTATTAATGAAAAGTTTGGGCCCTTTACCCAATCTCAGAACATCCCAGGTGTTGGTTATGGTGCAGCCAGCTCTGTGTTTTGGACAATAAGTGGAATTTTCCAGCCCTTGCAAAAAAAAAAACAAAACAAAACAACTTTCCTTATCTCTGGGATCGGATGCTGGGGATAGCAGTAGCTGGCTTTCTGCGTCCCCAAGTGTGGACCCTTTTGGGGAAGGGTCTGTGTTCCAGACTCACCCACTGTAGCTCTTCCAGATCTCGTTGATGTCTTGTCTGTGAACCCGGACTCATCGGTGTCAGATCCTACGGTTTTCCACAAGCGCTATTTGAAAAAGATCCGGGATCTGGGTGAGGTAAGGGCGAGGCCTGGAGGACCGGGGGCGGGGCATGGGCTGCTCGAAGGCCCTGGCCTTAGAGACTGTCAGCTTCAAGGGAGGCCCCGGGGAATTGAAAGGGAGGCCTCAGCCCCAAGGGGATCCATCCACATGGAGTAGGTGGGGCCTTGGATTTTCCAAACAAACCTGCCTGGAGGTGGGGCCTGGGGAGCTGGGGGTGGGGCTGATGCTCCTTGCACGCTCCGGCCAGGGTCACTTCGGAAAGGTCAGCTTGTACTGCTACGATCCAACCAATGACGGCACTGGTGAGGTGGTGGCTGTGAAGGCCCTCAAGGCAGGCTGCGGTCCCCAGCTCCGTACAGGCTGGAGGCGAGAGATCGAAATCTTGCGCACACTCTACCACGAGCACATTGTCAAGTACAAGGGCTGCTGCGAGGACCAAGGTGGGCGGGGCCTAGAGATAGATTATAACAGGGCGGGGCTATGTCTTGGGTGTGGCTTGGTGGGCGGGGCCAGCAGGACCTGGCCAATTAGAGCCTCTCAGCCCCAGGCTGGAGGATGCAGTTTGCAGACACCGAGGTGGGCGAGGCCCGGCCGCCTCCTTTCCATCCTTAGGCGCTCTGCTGGGGCCAGGATGGGTGGGAGCCACCGTCAGCTCCCTTGCCTGTGGACGGGTTCAGGATGGGTCCACCCCATCTGAGGACTGGTCCTAGTGAGGATGGATCTTGGTTTTCCCTCCCCACCTTGGGTTAGGGGGTGCAGGGTGGGCAGCCTGTGGTCCAGGTCTCTACCACCCTTACGGGCCGCTCCTCTCCGGTGTCAGGCGAGAAGTCGGTACAGCTGGTCATGGAGTATGTGCCCCTGGGCAGCCTCCGAGACTACTTGCCCCGGCACAACGTCGGGCTGGCCCAGCTGCTGCTCTTCTCCCAGCAGATCTGTGAGGTGGGCCTGCCTGCCCCTGCTCCCAGAGCCTGCCCACTTCTTGGGCTTGGCCTGAGCTTCCTGTCTCCCCCGCCAACCCCCCTGGGCCTGCTCTCTTCCATCCTTGTCCATTCAGCAGATCACCTGGCCACACCCCCACTGGCCCAGGCCCCCACCCCCCTCCCAATTCTCCCACCCCCTGCCCCGGGGGAGCCCCCCATGTGGCTCCACCTCTGCTGTCCGGCTCTGCTCCTTTTCGCTCTGGCCCCAGCTGCCATCCTGCCCGTTCTCGCGCCTGGTCCCCGCCAACTTGACTGTCCCCTGGCCATCCTGGTCACTGCTTCTCAGGCCCGGTCCTGCCCCCACGCTGATCCTGACTTACCCCACCCCCAGGGTATGGCCTACCTGCACGCGCAGCACTACGTGCACCGAGACCTGGCCGCACGCAATGTGCTGCTGGACAACAACAGGCTGGTCAAGATTGGGGACTTCGGCCTCGCCAAGGCCGTGCCCGAAGGCCATGAGTACTACTGCGTGCGCGAGGATGGGGACAGCCCCGTGTTCTGGTAACCGGCGGGACCCAGCCGGAGGGAGGGGTGCCAGGGTCACCTGGAGCAGACAGGGTGGAGGAGATGGATTCCGGGGTCTCAGACGACAGGGCCTGGGTCAAGTGACACTGCCCGCCCTCTTAAGGGTGGGGCCCTAACTGGGACCACAGGGCTCCTAAGACTCAGGTAAGGACTCCAGCTCTGTCTGGCCCAAGGCCTGAGTGCCCTCTCTCCCCAGGTATGCCCCGGAGTGCCTGAAGGAGTGTAAGTTCTACTATGCATCCGACGTCTGGTCCTTTGGGGTCACCATGTATGAGCTGCTGACCTACTGTGACTCCACCCAGAGCCCCCCCTCGGTGAGAGCCAGGCCCGCACCCCGACCCCATCCTAGAGGAGTTAGCGAGGCATGCATTCAGTTCCCAGCTCCCCCACCCTAGCAAGAGCTTAACCCACCTGAGCCTCACAGTTGCATTCTGTAAAGTGGGCCCGTTACACTGCAGAGGGCTTGGATTGTGACCGAAACCCACTCAAATAGGAACGGCTTATTCTGCCATTTGCAAACCCCAAAGGGACAGTGGGAACATGGCTTGATCTAGACCTTCAAATGCCATCAGGAATCCCATTTTCTCCATCTCTCAGCTCTGCTGATTTCCACGGTAGCATTTTGGTTTTTTCGCCGTGCCACGCGGCATGTGGGATCTTAGTTCCCCGATCAGGGATCGAACCTATGCCCCCTGCAGTGGAAGCACCGAGTCTTAACCACTGGTAGCATTTCTTAAGCAAGACTTCCCTTTGTCGTGGCAACAGTGGACCCAGCTGAGGGGAGGAGGGTCTTCTCTTTCCAACATAATTCAGGACTCTCTGATCGGCCCAGCTTGACTCACGTGCCCTCCAGGGAGCCACTCACTGTGTAGTCCTTGGCTGAGGGGAGGAGCCTAGAGTATGTTAAGGGTTTATTCCCAAAGCCAATCAGAGTGCCTTTATAGGAAAATTTAAAAAAAGGTTTCTGAACAGGCAAAAACAACTTGCTGAGGCTTAATAATAATAGCAAGCACCTAATTCAGACTTACTCTATGGATATTAGTTTATCTAAGTTTCACAATAACCCCAGGTGGTAGATGTTATCACCCATTTTACAGATGAGAGAACTGAGGCCCAGAGAGGCGAAGTCATAAGACCAATGTTATGCAGCTGAGAAGTGGTAGAGATGGCATTAGAACTCCTGCCATCCGGCTTCAGACTCTTGACCTCTATCTAGGCAGCCCTGCCTCTTAAAAAGAGCTTGTCCTGTTTCTTCTGTAGAAATTCATCGAGCTCATAGGCCTCACCCAGGGGCAGATGACAGTGCTGAGGCTCACTGAGCTGCTGGAACGAGGGGAGAGGCTGCCACAGCCAGAGAAATGTCCCTGTGAGGTGAGACCCTCCCTTTTCCCCCTGCCCCCACCATCGGACCAGGGAGAGAGCAGAGATCACAGCCTCAGTTTTTCCTTCCCCAGATCTATGGCCTCATGAAGAACTGCTGGAAAGCAGAGGCCTCTTTCCGCCCGACATTCCAGAACCTCATACCCATCCTCAAAACGGTCCACGAGAAATACCAAGGCCAGGCAGCCTCAGCGTTCAGTGTCTGCTGAAGCCCGCCAGCAGCTCTGCTTGGGGGGATTGGAGCAGGCGGTACCCATAGAGAAGGCCTCCTGCTTCCCACCCTAAGAGGAGCCCAAGAGGGGATGGTCAGCCTCACTGACTCCCTGTGCCTTACTCCTGTCTGGATGCCCCACCCCTCTGAACTGACTTTCCTTGTCTTAGTCCATTTGGGCTGCTATAACAAAACGCCACAGACTGGGTGGCTTCTAAACAACAGAAATTTATTTGTCACAGTTATGGAGGCTGGGAAGTCAAGATCAAGGCACCAGCATGGTTGAATTTTGGCAAAAGCCCTCTTACTGGTTCATAGCCTATGCCTTCTTACAGTGTCCCCACAAGGTCCAAGGGGGCAAGGCATTTTTCTGGAGCCTCTTTTATAAGGGCACTAATCACATTCATGAGGGCTCTGCCCTCATGACCTATGCACCTCCTAATACCATCACGTTAGGTGTTAGGATTTCAACATAGTGATTTTGAAGGGACAGAAACATTCAAACCATAGAACCTTCCAAGATCGTGAGCCTGACATAGGTTCCTGAGGGACCCAGGACAAGCAAGGAGCTAACCAGGCCCTTGAATCTGATCCTTTTATCTTCCCCCAGCTCCTGCCCTTGGAGCCCACTATCTCCCCTAACTGGTTAAAAACTCATAGTTCCTCTGCTAGAGGCATGGTCCTTGGGCCCTTCTTCAGCAAGTGTCCACTCTCCTGGGGACTGCAGCTACAGCAAGACACTCATTGCAGAAGTCAGATTCATCTATTGAACCTTTGCTCACCTCTAAATCACCAGCCAGCAATTAGACCAGTGCCTGGAACACAGAAGGCCCTCAAGATATATGTTAAATATATCAACAAAGGACCTGGAGGACCACATGCCATATAAATAAGATTGCCAGTTTCACCTTTTTCTCACTGTGTGACCTCAGGCAAGTGGCTTCCCCTCTCTGGGCCTTAGCTTTCAACAATGAACTTGGGGTGGTCATGCTTGCTGCCTTGTAGGACTAGTGTCAGGAGCTAATGAGGACTTCCCTGGTGGCGCAGTGGTTAAGAATCTGCATGCCAATGCAGGGGACACGGGTTTGATCCCTGGCCCGGGAAGATCACACATGCTGCAGAGCAACTAAGCCCATGCATCACAACTGCTGAGCCTGCGCTTTAGAGCCTGTGTGCCACAACTACTGAAGCCTGCGCACCTAGAGCCCGTGCTCTGCAACAAGAGAAGCCACGACAATGAGAAGGCCACGCATTGCAACAAAGAGTAGACCCCGCTCGCTGCAACTAGAGAAAGCCCGCGCACAGCAACAAAGACCCAACACAGCCAACAATAAAAACAAATAAATAATTAAAATCTGTCAAATGCTTAGCAGAGAGATATGCAAACAACTGCTCAATAAACATTTGATATTATTGTTAATCTGGTGTTTGCCAACGTGTTTCTGCTTAACAGGTATACTTGAGATGGGTCTGACACATTGTGAAAGGCAGTTAGATTTCTTTCCCATGGGATTTCCTAAGACCCTGTGCGTTGCAGCCCTCCTGACTGGTCAGTTTCACACTATTCTAGTGATATTTGCTTTTTATAACAGTTTTTAAAATTAAATATTCATTATAATTGTAAATCTTCCTTTTTTTTTTTTTTTTTTTTGATATTGCCATAGGCAGTGAAATGTTTCCCTCCTCTGTCCATCAGCCACCACTGTCACCTCCCCGGGAGACGACTAATGTTATCTGGTTTCCTGTTTTGGCTTCCAGAGGCATTTTATCCAGATACAAGGAAATCTGTGCACATATTACATTTCCCCATCTTTTGCAAAAATAATAGTATGTGCTGCTATATAGAGCTCTAGCCTGTATCTTTTCTTTTTCCCACATAATAGGCCTTGGAGGCAAACAGTGTTTTCTCTTTCTATTTTATGGTTGTGTTGTAGCTCATCATTCAAATGTCATCGGCATTTGTTCATGTAACCATTTCTAATCCTTTGCCATACCCTGGGCTGCTGCAGTGAGTAACCATGTGTGCACATGGTTTCACCCACGTTCAAGGGTATCTGTAGGACAAATTCCCAATGGGAATAGCTGCAAGATCTAACCTGTTAATTTGGAAAGTCATTGCCACTAGAATATATTTTGATAGTTGATAGGGCAAGTCTCTCCTCATTCTTTTCTCAAAATTATCTTGGCTTGTTCTTGGGCAGCTACTTTTTTTTTTTTTTGCATTCTTTTTTTTAAAAAATTATTTTCTGGGACTTCCCTGGTGGCACAGTGGTTAAGACTCCACACTCCCAGTGCAGGGGGCCCAGGTTCGATCCCTGTTTGGGGAACTAGATCCCACACGCATGCCACAACTGAGAGTTTGCATGACACAACTAAGGAGCCAGCGAGCCGCAACTAAGGAGCCCTCCTGCTGCAACCGAGACCCAGTGCAACTAAATAAATAAATAAATATTTTTTAAAAATTATTTTCCGTTATGGTTTATCACAGGATGTTGAATGTAGTTTCCTGTGCTATGCAGTAGGACCTTGTTGTTCTCTCTCTCTGTTTTATTCGTTTTCTTTTTTCTTTTGTCATACCCAGTTACATGGAGATTTTTTTGCCCGTTTGGAAGTCTGGTACCTTCTGCTAGAGTTCAGTAGATGTACTGTGAGAATCCTTGCACATGTCAATTTTTTTTTTTTTTTGGCTGTGCAGCATGTGGGATCTTAGTTCCCCGACCAGGGATGGAACCCATGCCCCCTGCAGTGGAAGCGTGGAGTCTTAACCACTGGACCACAAGGGAAGTCCCTGTAGATGT